GGACATTGCACAAAACCAATATACTAATTCACTTCGTGAATGAGTATAAAAATATCACAGATACACATTTATATGAAATTAAATTTTTTAATTATTCATTTATATTATAGAATGGTCCAAGACTAGAAGATCCCTTGAATCCTGAATTTATTTAAATATATTTAGGCTTTCTTAATGGTTTATTATTATTTATGAGAATCCAATGAATCAGAAATTTCAGGCTTGCCGCGAAATTAGTGGCATTTTGTGTGATAGTTTTATTTCCTGGCGCCAAGTTCTAAATTTACGCAAACGATTTCGAGGCTGATGTGTCGGTCGATCTGGCATACATAATATACAATTAAACATGTACATACATTCATACATATGTATGTATATGCATAAATAGAAAAAATTGTCTTTTCCCTCAAGAAAGAAATACTTGCGCTTTAAAGGGTTGAAAACTTAACCCTGTTACAAAATTAACTTCGTGAGTATTTCACTCATATCGCATATTAACGTCATGTTCATGGGATATAGATACATCAAGATTAAACAAATCTATAATAATATAGATATAGCCACGGCATCAGTACACAAAAATCATTTATAAATTTTAGAGTATATTGCATTAAGGGCTGTAGGATTGGAATATATTTCTTTACAATCGCATCACATTCAAATTTCCACATTAAGCGTGGCGAATTAGTACATTGTATACTTACGTCAATTGTAAGGACTTCTAGTATTAGTATCTAAGAGCATTGTGTTTCCTGATTGTCAGTTTTATTTCAGGGATTTTCAGTTCAATACAATTCATAAATATATTGGCATACCTGAATCGATTGGATAGTTTATCCGATACCAGTGCAGTGGATTGCAGCAAATATAGACGGAGTCCCGAGCACTGGGGCAAGTGGGCAGACGCCTTAGCTCGCCAGCATCCATTAGGTCGGACCACAGAAAAAGTTGGCACGTGGTCACATGCTGTCCCTTGTCGATGGGCAAGCTGCACTTGATTAGGATGCACTGCAGATAGCTCGACGTATCTGGCGAGTCTCGCTTGTGAGGTGGGTCCACGCGACTTCTTACGGCCTGGAGTAGATCGGCTATCTGTTTGCTCTTCAGCTTCTTTAGCAATGCATCGAAGTTTTGGTGCACCGTCTCTTGACGTATCGCTGTCGCTGACATTGACCCGGTCCCAGCTGGGGACATTGTGGGCGACTGGGTATGCATTGGGCAGGTGGGTGTGGATGAGGCTGTGCGCTGTCGACTCTGACTGTGGCGTTTGCTCGGCACCGGGCTCGTTTCCGAAAAGAATCTGTTCCCGGAGTCTGTCGTCGTCCCGCTGCTGCTGCTGCCACCGCCGCCGCCACAGCAGTTGCGAAACATCTTCGCCGCTGTCGTGGCAAAGTTGGCCGCTGCTGTCATTGCATGTGCATTTGAACAAGCCGGCATCGGTATCGGCACAGCCGCTGACATCTGTAGAGCCCACTCCGGACAGAACCTGTTTTCGTCGACCAACATGCTGGCGCCAGAGTTTGCGTAACTGCAGCCATCTTTTATATAGGAATAGCTCGATCCTTCGGTCGCCGAGGCGGACACGGAAATGTCTTCTTGCCCATTTGGGTGGCACCTCAGCTGCAGCTGGGGGTGGTTGTGGGTGGGGCGATAGGAGCCTGAGCAGTCTATGGAGGGTATTGAACTGTACGGTGGTGGAGATGGGCTGTTCGGCTGCCGCATCATCATCAGTGGGGATTGATCCGCGTAGCAGCAACAAAAGCTGCCGCAGCTCTGAAGGTGGCGTTGATGTGGAGGGTGCAGCGGCTGTTGTTGCTGCATGGGTGTCGGTATCAAATCCGCATCGCACGTAGCCGGATTGTTTCTTGACGCATAACGCCATAGTTTTTTTTTCTTTTCGCTTTGGAATATCATGGAGGGACATCAATTCTTTTGGTAACATCGATATTATCGAATGTGCATTATTTGAGTTAATCAACTTGAATTAGACGCACTCATAAGGCTCGACTCGGTCGACGATTCGATTGCTTTGTGATATGTGCGGTGGGCTAGGATTCGGGCTGAGAATGACTTCCTTCCAATTGCAGTTAGCGTTACCTCATATGCATCTATGATTGCATATGTACAATAAATACATATAATTATTGACTAGGGTTGCCTTGCGGTAAAGTCGAATTCCTTTGTATCACTCGAGAAACTTTTATCTATGATATGATTTTGGTGGTGTTTCGATTGCTTTGATATGCACTCTGCAAAAAATTAAAAAAATTCGGAGAAAATGTTTTCATTAATATTGGTTCACTTTAAAAATAACAAGTAAGAAGACTCTAGTCGAGACTGCTCGACTAGAAGATACCCTGAACCCTCCA